ATCGGCAGGCGGACTCTCAAGCACTGCGCCACCAGGGAAGCCCTTGCTTACCTTTTTGAGAGTTGTAATCCAGTTTCTGCCAGAGGGTGCGCAATACTGGCAAACTGAAAGCTACTTTCAGATTCATTATTTCCCAGAAGATATCTACTATATACTCCCTATAAGTAAATTAATACAAAGTGATTAAAATTCATGGAAAACTATTCTTCAACTATCCAGTCTTTCCACAGTTTCCCAGCTACGTGAATCACTAAACTTACAAGGTACTAAGATATAAATCAGGCTATCAGTTCTATTAATTTACATGCAGGCATAATTATACCACTCCAAATTAAAGAATTACACTTGTATCATTTGGTTAACATACTCTCATCATAACAGAATTATAACTGGAAATAAAACCAAACTTTAAAATGAGTTTAGCTGTTACTAAAGATACCAAATTGGCAAGTTATATCACCTCTAAAGATCATTGCTCTCCCTTCACAGTGGAGAAAAAAAAAATCTAAAGAAACCAAAATAAAATTAAAAACTGTAAAACCAAAGAGAAGGCAATGAGAGACTTCTAAGAATATTTTATCTCATTTTTTGGACCCCTAATTTAGGTGAAATTATTCTCCTTTGAACAGTGTTAGTTGAATGCTCATCTGTTTTTCTTTCTTAATTCTCCATGTTCTGTGTTTCCAACATAATATACTCTCCTGTTCCCTGTCCCAAACACAATCAACTGAATTTCATTAGTTTATTTCTTTATATAATTCTTTGTACAATAAAACACTGTAGCAGTCTTTCCGTCATTTCCAATTTCACATTTCTAGTTAGAATGGAATGTTTATGATCATCTCTAAGGCTACTAACTACATAGTTTATGACATACATATTAATTTCAATCATAAACCACGTCAAGCTTTTATTTGAAATGAAAATACATTTTAAATTCAAAGCCTATCTGTTATCTCACTTTGGAAATTGACAGATATAGAAACATACCATATACCCTATTTTGAGAAATGCATCCAATCAACATGATTAACTAATATGATTAATATGATTAATATGATTCTAAACTACAGGATGAGATGTAAGACAACTATTTCCTAGACATTTCAGTTATTGGAGGACAGCATGAACTCTGAGGACAGGGAAAAATAACCATAATTTTCGTTAATCCTTCTTTTCCCATTCTTTTTTGTTTCTAAAATCTCTTATTTACTTGTTCTTCCTCCAAGCCCTAACCCCTTACCAGAGATGAAGCATCTCAATTTCTTAAATAAACTAAGACTCAAAGTATAAGGGACCTGAGTTAGTATAATGAAGAATGCATTTGTCTAAACTATAAATTTAAAAAACTGAATTTATGTTCAGTTTTCTCTCAAAATTTATCACATAACTATCACATTATTAGAAAATGGAAAATGGACAATTTATTAATTATGTGTTTGAGTGAGCTTATCTACTCACTCAAACACATAATTAAGAGGCTCTATATGCTAGGTACTGTGCTGGCTTTGGGAAATACAATGATAATTCCTTCATCATCAGCTCTGATTAATAGGGTTTTATAATCTGAATCAGATATCATATAAGGAGTTTAACTCTTTCTTATATTGGATATTCAGGAAATAACCAATTCTCACATGCTTTTTCTCTTTTTGTTATTATGTCTTTCTCTCTCCCTTCTTCCATCTTTTTGGTTTATTATACCAAGAAGTGATAACACATTTTGCTACTCAAATTTTTCCCTTGCCAAATTCCTATTCTGTAAACTCTGGATTTATGTTTTATCCATGTCTGGTATTTGTTATTATGGAAACTAAATTGATCTAAAGATAAGAAAATAAGGGAATACCCTGGTGTTCCAATGGTTAGGACTCTGTGCTTTCAGTGCCGGGGGCCCGGGTTCAATCCTTGGTAGGGGAACTAAGATCCCACAAGCAGAGCCATGATGTGGCCAAAAAGAAAAACAAAAAAACAAAAAAAGGAATATAAAACCCCCAAAGATCAAAAATATTGTCAACAGTACATCAATAAGTAATGGTTAAACACATGTTAAAAAATTAATTACCTGTGCTATTCCAGCAATTTTAAAATATGAAAGGGCAAGAAAGAAATTCTAGTTAGGAAGATTAGAATTAATTCCCCTGTAGCGGCAATATATTGAAATCAGTTCTTCCACTGATGGTACCCCTATAAAAACAGTACATACTATAAACTTTAATAAGAATGTCATGATGAATATTTTAAAATGTCATATTGCATATAACTATAAAACTGAACATAAAATTAATCCATATAACAAAACATTAATCCATATAACAAAACATTATAATCTATATAATTATAATATTATAATTAAAATATTAACTATAATATAATCTAATAATATATTATTACTTATATTACTTATATATAGTATAAATTATATTATATAATATAAATAATATATTATATTATTAATTATATATAATAATAAAATATATTATAATTAAAACATTATGATCCATATAATTATAATCCATATAACAAAATATGCTCTAAATGTTGATTTCCAAAAGAACATTATATACAAATGATTATATTTTGTAACAACTTACTAGAAGTGGAAAGATACATTCAAAAAAACCGATAGAATAAAATGATTTAAAAACATTTCAAGAAACAAAAGCTATTTATCTAAGATTGCAATATAATCTTTTTATTAATTATGAAGAAAAATAAATATAATTTTATATTAATAGCAATTTAGGCAACATTATGTTTTCATACCTCTGTTTTCTTGCAAATGAGGACTTTGACTTAACAATGGAATGGTCCTTGGCCAAAAGTAGAACTCAGAGAGATGAGCCAAGTCTGACAGAGGATGACCAATGGTTGAAAGCTCCCAATCTAGTACAGCTACAACTCGAGACTGTAATTAAAAATAAAAAGGTTTTAATATATTAAATCCAAAACAACTAAAATAAGGAGATGAATGAAATAGAATATATTGAAAATCATATTTTCCATCAAAAGCAAATGTGAGGCTGTAGTTTGCAGTCTTTACCCACAGCGGCACATTTCATTTATCAAATAGAGCCAAGTCCCCTGGTTCCATCGCTGGCCAACAGCTCTGCATTTTACTTTACACAGCCTTAACATGTCTACTAATGAACGGAGGCAAAAGCAGTTGAAAAGTTTCAACTGGGAGTAACTATAGTAAAGAAGAAATTCTAACAATTACTTATAATTTAAGAATCTATTCTCTGGTAATGAATCTTACAACATAACAAATATTACACTCTTATGACAATAGTAATTTTTTAAAGTAAGTTATTTCATGCTATAGATATAAAACTATAATTGTTATAAAAGATGCTGTTTGTTTTATGAATACAAAATCCACCATTATATAGCAACATGATAAAAGAGTTGTATAATTTGGAACCAATAACACGGAAAGCTTTCCTCATTCTATTTTGTAACAATATGTATCAAGGGACTATATAGCTTTATGTTAAGAACACAGGACATTCAACTGCAAATACAAGGGGAAAAGGCAATTTGTAAAATAATATGCATAGTATGATCCTATTTGTTTAAATAAAAAGGGTACAAATGAATACACAAAGTTGAAAGAATATACACCAAACTGATAGCAATGGCTATGGTTACTTCAAGGGACTGAGGCAGGAGGGATGGAATATGGCAGGAGACACTCCAATGGAGGGTTCTGTACGGGAGGGGTGATATGATAGGATTTGTATTTTAAGGTCACTCTAGCTGCTATGTTTTGAATAGACTGTAGGGGAGGCAATGAGGAGGCTGTTGCAATATAATCTAGAGAAGGTTATCTAAGCCAGATAAAACAGCAAAGCTCACTTAGGCAATGCAAGTTACTGGGTTTCATGCCTTTATGTAACTTTGTGTGTGCTTGCACTCCCTTGCTTCTCTCGCACACTTGAACACATTATTGTAGCTTTAAGGAAAAATGTGGTCTTTGGAATCACAGACCTGTATTCAAGTCCTAGCTCCACCATTTACTGGCTGTGTAATTCTGGACGAGCTAGTTAACCTTTCTGATTCTCAAGTTTTGCAGCCATAACATACACCTCTTGCATAGAGTTAGTGTGAAGATGAAATAAGAGCAGGTAACATGTCCATTTTGTTTACCAGTGTCTAGCTGTGAAGTACCTGACATACAGTAGGTGGCCAAAATGTATTTATTCAATGAATAAGTACAGAGCCTGGCATATAGCAGACAATAAAAAATTTACCATTATGACTATGGAAAAATTGATCACTGCTTCCTCTATGATTTGACTTCATAAGACTTTTTATGGTTGTGGTTATATTGAATTATAAGTTACTATATTAGCTAGATTTGTTAAATTTGCTTAAAAAAGGGATTGGACGCATTTTTCTCTATACCATTCTGTTTGTTTTCTGTGCTCTTGACGTCCAAAGAAAAGATGATATACTTAATTATGCTATAAATGTTTAGCTTTTTTTAATTGAAAATTGGGAATTTTCCCTGGAGTTAAGTTTCAAGAAATCTGAAACATTTTAAAAGTAATTACCCACAAAGCTATAAAACAATAGCCAGTGAGAAAAGCTGATGGTTCATCAAATTATCAGTTAGTATAAATTAATTAACAATGGTTTATTAGAATCCTGTCTATTCATGTTTGTGTACAGAGCTATAAAAAGCATAGCATAACTTCTAGTGGATGAGGTGAACATTTACTAATTCATTTTGTTGCTAAAGAACTTAAAATGATTTCTGAGAGTTTTTCTGAAACCTCAGCACAACTGAAGCTTTTCATTGTTTTGATTATCTTCTACCTTGAGTTTTATTTTCTAGGTATGCTTTTTGCCATATTGAATTTTTTTTTAATTTTTAATTTATTTTTGGCTGTGTTAGGTCTTCGTTCTGCACACGGCCTTTCTCTAGTTGTGGTGAGCGGGGGCTACTCTTCATTGTGGTGCGTGGGCTTCTCATCACAGTGGCTTCTCTTGTTGTGGAGCATGGGCTCTAGGCACACAGGCTTCAGTAGTTGTGGCATGCGGGCTCAGTAGTTGTGGCACACAGGCCCTAGAGCACACAGGCTTTAGTAGTTGTGGTGCACAGGCTCAGTAGTTGTGGCTCGCGGGCTCTAGAGCGCAGGCTTAGTAGTTGTGGTGCATGGGCTTAGTTGCTCCGCGGCATGTGGGATCTTCCTGGACCAGGGATCGAACCTGTGTCCTCTGCATTGGCAGGCAGAATCTTAACCACTGCTCCACCAGGGAAGCCCCTTGAATTTTATTAATATGTATGTATATTACCTTTTCAAAACAAAAGAAACACATGCAATACAGTAGGACTGACAATAGATGAAGGAGGTAGGAAAAAATATAATAATTTTTAATAAAGTGATAAAGCTAAGAGTAGGTTATTACATAAAATTAAATGTCACAGGTCATATTGATATATAGTTTTTAGTGTTGACAGCAGAATTTGCTCTGAGTTTTCTATGGACAAAATAAAGTATGTAGCATAATCAGTCACAATGTTTATAGTGCATGTAGATTAAAAACAAACCAGCTGCACCTGGGTTGCTTCCAAGTGCCCATCAACAGATGATTGGGTTAAGAGGATGTGGTATATACACAATGGAATATTACTCAGCCATAATAAAGAATGAAATATTGCTATTTGTAGCAACATTGATGGACCTAGAGAATATTATGCTTAGTGAAATAAGTCAGACAAAGACAAATACTGTATGATATCATTTACATGTGGAATCTAAAATATAATACAAATGAATGCATAGGCAAAACAGAAACAGACTCACAGATATAGAAAACAAACTTGTGGTTACAAAGGTGAAAGGGGAGGGGAGAGGGACAAATTAGGGGTATGGGATTAACAGATACAAACTACTATATATAAAACAGATAAGCAACAAGGATATATTGTATTGCACAGGGAATTATACCCATTATCTTATAATAACCTATAATGGAGTATAATCTGCAAAAACCCTGAATGACAATGCTTTACATCCGAAACTGAAACTAACATTATATTACAAATCAACTGTACTTCAAAACAAAGCAAAAAAACCCAGCTGCTCAAGAGTGACAATTTTCATGCAGAGATCACTCAAGACAGCAGAGTAGAAAGACCATGAATTCACATCCTCTCAGGAGCACACCAAAATAACAACTATAAGCAGAACAACCATCAATGAAAAAGACCAGAACCAACCAGAAAAGATCTTCTACAACTAAAAACATAAAGAAGGAACCACAATGGGGTGGGTAGGACAGGTGGACTCACAATATAGTCAAGTCCCATAACCCCAGGTGAATGACCCACAAACTGGAGAATAATTACACTGCAGAGGTTTTCCCACAGGAGTGAGAGGTCTGAGCCCCACGTTGGGCTCCCCATTCTGGGGGTCCTACATCAGGAAGATGAGCCCCCAGTGCATTTGGCTTTGAAGGCTAGTGGTGCTTAATTTTGAGAGTCCCAGAGGATTGGGGGAAACAGAGACTTCACTCTTAAAGGGTGCACAAAAAATCTCACACACTCCAGGACCCAAAATATAAGCCATAATTTGATAGGAGCCTGGGACAGACCTACCTGTTGGTCTTGGAGAGTCTCCCAGAGAGGCAGGAGGCAACTGCAGCTCACCCTGGGGCCACAGACACTGGTGGCAGCCATTCTTGGGAGCTCCTTCTACCATATGGACATTGATGTTGGCAGGCACCATTGTGGAATCCTCCCCTCTGGCTTATTACCCCCAGGACCCAGCCCTGCCCTGGCCCAACAGCCCGTAGTCGCCAGTGCTGGGACACCTCAAGCCAAGCAACTAACTTGGCAAGGACACAGCCTCACCCATCAGCAGATAGGCTGCCTTAAGACCACAGCTGCCTCTGGACATGGCCCTGCCTACCAGAGGGCCCAGGACCTAGTTCCAGCTACCAGTGGGCAGGGACTAGATGCAAGAAAACCACAATCTGGCAGCCTGCAGACACAGCCCATCTACCAAGAGGCCAGAGACCCTGCCCTGGGACAAGCCTGGCCACAGCCCTGTTCACTAGCAGGCTAATTCAAGCTTCTGGACACCCCAGACCCTGTGTCAGAACCCCCCCCCCC